ACATCATCCACCTTTACATAAATCTCACCTCTAAATCCCCACTCTCAGAGATCTTAACGCTATCAAGCCCATTCTCCATTCTTAACGCTTGTGCCGGTGGTTCTATACAATAAAAAAAGGAGTGGAGATAACGAACAGCCCTGATGGACTACATTTACTGCCTTTGACATAAGTCCGTTAACGCTTATCCTACTTTCTATTTCCTCATATAATAACCTTACCAAAGCAAGAAACCTCGATGAAAGCCCCGTCTTTTGGAGTGCTCTAAACATATACTCTTGTGAGACACGGTCATAAGCTTTCTCAAAATCCAAATTTAGAACAGCTGGCCTAATATTCCTCTCTCTCGAATAACAAATGGTATCTCAGATCAGTATCAGGCTGTCCGTGATCTTCTTTTCTGCCACACGATAGGCTTGATCTGGATGAATGACTTCCCTCAAAACAGATTTTAATCTAAGTGTTAGACACTTAGAAAACAATTTAAAATCACAATTCAAGAGAGTGATGGGTCTCCAAATAGACAGGTCTGTGCGATCATTCTTTTTAAATAATAAAATAACAACCCCTGTTCTAAAACTATCTGGTAGCCCATCTAAAAACTCAAATTCTTTAAAAACAGCTAAAAGATCCAATGCTAAAATATCCCAAAAGGTCGTATAAAACTCAATGTGTAGACCATCCAACCCCAGAGTCTTTACGTTTTCTCATCTACGGAAAAATCCTTTGACAAAACTGAACTGCCCTCACACTCTTTAGAATCACATTCACACATTTTTCTAACAACTCAACTGACACTTGTTTCTTTCCTAAAAATACCTAATAAAAATCCTCATTTACAGTCAGCTTGTCTTCAAGTCTTCAAATCACCATCCCATCCCTTCAATCCTGACATCAATCCTCCCCCCCAACAATTTTCTTAAAAACAATAATAAATCCATTAATTTAAAATACTTCTGTAATCTCTGTTGCAGTCCTTTTTCAACCTCTCCTTTTTCTGTAACCTCTCCTTTTTCTCTCTCCCCATCTCGATGAAGAAAGATTCTGTGCACTCCTTCACCTCCTCCCACCACTCTGCTCATGTATCAAAGAAGCCGTACAAAGACTGCCATTCCCTAAACCTGCCCATCACTTCCTCATCTTCAAGAAGTAAAATATTCAGCTTCCACACCAACGTATCTTGACCCGCTTATGTTTAATTAAAACAGCAACACCATCAGATTTGTTTGACCCACTAAATTGATGGGCCGAACCTTCATAAAAAAATGTTTTTAAAGGTAACCCACACTCCTGTAACAACACAGTATCAGCATTCAAATTACTCCGAAATGATTATATAGTCATTGCCCTTAACTTCGAGAGAGTGCTTCTCATTTTTTGATAATACTTATTAAAACAGGATTAAGGGAAACTAAAACAATAATATCTGCTATTCAGGAACTTTTTTCCCCATTTTCTTTCTCCACTCCCAAAGCACAGCTCTCCACCCTTCTTTCTGCAATAAATGGCCCTAAAACCTAGTCAGCAGGACTAAAAACGAGTCTCTGACTCCCTGGGAGAAACTGCCATTTCTGCATTCTGACTATTCTGCCAGCTTTCTTCCCTCACTTTCCCACTCGGTGTTAAATCTTTTTCGAAATCTGATTAAATCTGATCAGCCGATCTTTTAGACTGCACAATGTACTGTAAATACCATTTGAACCCCATCAGTCACCAAAGATGTCTGACTATCGAGAGAAATGTTACCAATCAAACCCATTCCAGCTCACTTTGCACGTCATTGTCATCCTTTTCCTCTACATTCTCTTCCCCCTCAGTACCTCCTGAACTCTCCACATCCTCTTCATTCTCGGTGCTCTCTTTCATCACCCACCACTGATTCCCCTTCTTCATCCTGTTCTATAACCACTATTCCAGCTCTCAATGCCTCTGAGTTGGTAATGAAAGAAGATAGTTACATGGTTGTTTAAGTTTTGTTTAGTTAAAGGTGATGCACTGAAAGTCTTGGACGATGATAGCATTTGGTCCTGTGCTTGGAGAATACCTGTTTCATTATATGAAGACAGAAAAGGTTACGTGGTTTTAAGCATATTACTTCGTTGACTGTTTTCAGTGAAAATCAAGGCTTGGTGTAGAGAGTCGGGTCATTACGTGGAAGCCTGTACAAAATATGTTTGTGGAACATGCAGGGAAATTGGACATACATATGCAGAATGCATAAATGTCAGGCAACTTAACCTGTGTGGGAGTGAAGATAATTTGTTTAAAGCCTGTCCAAATTTCTTTGCAAATAAAACAAAACAGGGAAGACCATTGCAAAGACAGGAAAAGCACTGAGAGCTGGAATAGTGGTTATGAAACAGGATGAAGAGCAGGAATCAGTGGTGTATGATGATAATGGAGTCGAACCATCACCACCCTTAAAAAACCATAAGTGCTCAAAAGTAACGACACATGATGACCTTACAGGCCACCATAGCCTTTACAAAACTACCAAAAACACTACAAAAACCCATATTGTGCACCAAAAATAAAAAAACCCTAGCCTTATCCTCTTTGAAAGTCTTTAAATGACTCCCCCTTCACTCCTGGGCTTTAACCAGAAACAGATCGTGCCAAACGCCTTTCCCTTGCCCCTAAAGCCCTACAGTATCTATCCTCCTCACTCCCTGAACTGCAGGAGATTAGACACTGCCCCCAGCCTCTGCACCTGACTGCAGATATTCTCTGCCTGCTGCTCCTGAGGAATGTTCAGTAATCTACAGGGCCAATCAGATAAACCCCTTTCTGCCTGTGAAATTCCATTTCACTGGAGGCAAATCAGTCAGTCAAGGCAGGTGTGTCCAATTTATTCTCCAACAGGAGGAGGCTGCAACTAAGCCTAAACTTTCACCATCATAATTGGTCTATCTAAGCACTTCCTTAACAAAGTTCAAATGGTTCACGATTAAGCTGCTTGACTTCAAATTCATTCAGGGTTCCATGACCACATCACCCCAATTCTGACAAGTGTCCACTAGCACCCCATTACTGAGCATCTCCAGTACAAACTTTTACTTTTAAATTTTTAAGCCCTAAACGTCTAATCCCCACAATATTTAGCATCTCTCATTACTCCCTATGTACTGTACTTAGCAGGGCTTTATGCTCTGCTGAGGCACATCTTTAGTAAAATCTGCTGATAGGAACAAGTGTCTCGGAGAACAGCTTTCTGCTGCCTTGCTCCACAACTGTGGAACTCACCCCTGACAATCTAAGAAATGTAAACTTTTTTAACAGTTTTTTTTTTAAATCTAAAGACTTATCTGTTTAATCAGGCTTTTAATTAGCTCCTTTTCCACGTCTGTCATCTCTTTCTTTATTTCTGTGCTATGTTATTTAGAATTTTCTGCTGTTAGTGTACATGGGCACTGAAATAAATCCTTATAAATTCATATAATCCTTGTAAATTTATCTCTTGCTCACCCTGAGTATATTTTAGGAGACTTTTATTCTTTTCCTTCTCTCATACTTGATGGCCCTCCAGAGTTTGGAAGATAACTTTTTTTTCTGATCATCATGTTCCCTTCTGGGAATACTTAAAATCCCCTACAGCATTGATAACCAGCTGAAAGTAAACAAGTAACCTTGGTTACTCTTCCCTTTCAGGGTAGATCAATTCCCTCCGGGATTATACCTTGTTGATGTTAACAGACCCCTTGGTGACTGCTCTCTGCCTACTTCCTGTCCACACTGTCCACACTGTTCTCATGCTGAGACATGAATACAACTAGACAGGCAGCTCCCAGCTTCCACTGCTGGAATAGTGGTGGGTGTTCTCTCAATGAGGCTCTCAGATGTTCTGCTTCTCTTGTGCTGTTTCTGTGCCCCTCTTATCTGTGTGATTGATAAGTTGTAGGCTGCAGGCGCATGCTGCACTGTCTTTGGTTTTCATGTGAAAATGTGTGTCTCAACTGCATATTCCTGTTCTTATTACCAATCCTACTAATTATTATTTCCTCTGAATGAATATGAGATTTCATTTTCATCTGTCAAATGTGTGTTTATTGTTACTAACACACTTTTGCTGTTCTTTTAACATGTATTTCCCAACACTCGGGAACTGGGTCCACTGTGCTAACATTAGGACATAATCTTTTGTAAATGGTACTGGCTCCCTAGAGTTTAAAGTTCTCTTGCCATGTACAAGACACTAAATGATCTGGCTTCATCTTAAAGACTATTTTGTGAGTACACTCCAAATCTTAATCTTCTTATTCTCTAGAAGAACAGGCTCAACACAGTGGGCAATAGACCATTTAGTGTACACAGTCACAGTGTACTGTGAAATCACTGCCTAAATCCCTGTGAGTGCATATCTGTCTTTTCAGTTTATCTTTTGATGTATAAATAAGCTTAACAGAATTTACTTACTGTTCTTTTTTATTCTTTATTGTACTATTGGGCAGCACTTTGAGTTTCTGAGTAAAAAGTTGTATTTTGTGGTATTATATCATCTTTCAATGTCACCATGGAATGTATTGTCCTTCAGTTTTGTAACTGAAAATAATGAAAAAATAATT